TGCAAGGTCACCGACGATATTGTAGCATTTTAAATTTCATTGATTCTTTGAAGTATATTGAAATCCTCTCGTATATGAAATATATTGAAATCGCCTTAATATGTTTAAAAAATAAAACGAAGAATTTTTTCCGTGTTTGTTAGTTCGTATCTTTCAAGTTAAAATACGCAAAAGTGTTTTCAATAATTGTATTTGCATTGCTGGATGTTAATAAAACCATTTCAGAAGTTGTTTATTATTTTAAAGATATTTACTTCGGCAATTTCTTTTAATGTTTTATTCGAAGTCGTCTTATAATTTTTATACGTCGCAAAAGGATATCTACGTCGTTTCGTTGTGCGTTGCTATTTCAGCGTTTTGTTTATTTTCAAGCCATATGAACGAATTTTTAAGTTTTTCATTCATACTTGGGACTTCGTAGTGTTAGGTATGGATCCGAATTCGTCGTCGAATTTGTAGTTTTCTGTTTTTGGTTCCCTTTGGGGAAATAAGTAGCAGTAGTGGTGGATTTTTATCTATTATGAAGTGACCGGCATTAATTTGCCAAAATTAGTGGAGTTTTCGCTCGATATTTTAAGATGTTTGAAAAGTCTAGTTCCTGTTAAAAGTTGAACAAGTTTAGTTAATGTTTCTTTGAGAATTCCCGTTTTTCCAAGTGTGCTAGTTCCAGCCCCCAATGGATAAAGCTATTCGCTGATGATGTCCGGATAGATACTCCAGAGATGTAACAAGTTTTTTTTTCTTTTCGTTAAGTGGAAATATGTGAATCCAGGTAACTGTTTATTGTTTGTTTAATTTCAAAGTAAAGACAGATATTTTTTTAGAACAATAATTGCTTTCATTAAAATTTAGAAATTGTAACATTTAAAAATTGTAATTCGGTAACATTTGTAAGTTTTATGTAGTATCTCCAACCCCTGGAGTTTGTAAGCGGATGACATACGTAAGTTTTTTGTATTCTTGTATTTCTCGATATTGTAACTGTTTGTGGTGATACAAAAATAAATGTTAAATTCTGTTTACTTAACATTTTATTTATTTTTTGAGCTAACCCTTTTTGAGTTTTATTTGAAAAAGATATGTTTTTGATGTTTTATCATTATTTCCCTAGTTACAACTAGTGGTTGTAATAGGTATAATTAGGCACCTAAAGTGGCGCTCTATATTAAATTCCTTGAGGTGTTTCCTGTTTATTTTTATTTTGTTTATCCCAAGAGATTAATGACCCCTTTATTTCAATTTTTGTAGTTGCCCCAATCCAACCCCCTTATCTTTTACTTATCAATTTAACGCCATTTTACCGGAAGCAGTCGTGAAGCCTTGAGTGGTAATTTCATTATACACTACATTATTAAATTTCAATATTAATCACTTTAATAATGCTACCAAAGGTTAAAATTAAACCATAAATATTAATATATCGTTGGAAGTGCATCTATGATATTCTTAGTTTTTCAATCTCTGTTTTATGTTTTATTACATTTACATGTATATTAGACCACACGTTCTTTTGCTGTGCTAAGTTTTACCAAATTGCTATTTGTTGTTAGTTCAATTGATTGTCTATACAATATTATCGTATAATGTCCATTTCCTTGAGCTTCTTTACATTTTTAATATCATTGACTGCTGCATGTCTTTTTAAGGTAACACATACAACAACTTTTCCATGCTTGTGTGGTTTTTTTCATATTGTTCTTTTTCGATGAACTGATGATGCTTTCTGAATACGAAAGCGAAACGTCTTCAATAAATAGATAAAGTAGCCATCAACTTTGTCTCCCGACCACTCGTCTGAGTGATCCTTAATTTATATATATCTATATATATATATATATATATATATATATATATATATATATATATATACATATATAATTACATTAATGTGATAATTAAAGTCTGAGGCGCGCCAAGCAATTAATTAGCTAATTAATTAATTAAATTTGAAATGATGCAATTATGATTCTATCACACTATTTAATTCTCTTATCTTAGAGTTATACTCGTTCTTCAATATCTATGCTTTACATATGATAGGTAAGGTCCAAAAAATACCGGAATAATAAAAAACATATATGATACATTATATATTGAAATAAAATTCACACTCAAATATCTCATATAATGAGTGTCAAAATTTTGTTCTATGTACGTGAATCTTGAAAAATGAATGGTACATACAATATCGTCACCTGAATGTAAGAACTAGGTATCTCAAAATTTTCATATTTTGAGATATGTATATATTATTTCAAATACCATCTAGCCTTCAGTACAAAAAGTAGGTACCTTAATATAATAGGTAAAGGATTTTTCACCTAAGAAGACCGCTTTGCAATTAAATGATGGTAACTTTATTACTAGCGGACCAGATAAGCGGCGATATATTTTACACTACCTCTTTGAATAACATTTTACTGCTCTGTTGTTTCAATCAGCACTGCTCAACAAGTTATCGTTTCTTGGTTTATAATTGTATTACAATGTTAATTTTTTTTAATTTTTTCTGACGTATCGTATAATGTAGGTTTACCCAATAATCAAAGTTATGCATTTACAAAAACATATTATTTGAAAAATAAATAGTAAATACCATGTGTCATAATAATTGTAATCTCAGGAAAAAAGACAGTTAAGATTTTATACACACTTAAAAATTTGTTTACTAATGTATTTCTTAAATCCACACAATCATTTAAAAATGATTCATGCTGATTAAAATATCTTTCTGTTGTAGTAGATCAAATTCAAACGTCATCATATTTCTCTTTTGTTTATCGTTAAAAATTAAATGATGGTCGTGGGTTGTATTTTGTGTTTTTATAATTTAACAAAATACATAATCAGCAAAAACCTTATTTAAAACATGCGAAAGGTTTTTGCAATCACAATGAATACAGTGTTTATGTTGGTTTAGCATTGGCTGTTAAATAACTGTGTTCGATTGTTTTTAGTCCTTAAACCCTCGTTCTTTTTAAGGTGTAGTAGTTGTATATAAGTACCTATTTTTTATAGTAGTGTAGTGAAGTGGTACTTTAAACCAGTAAGCCCATAACCCCTGCTCTTTACAGGACCTGGGACCTAGGAGTCCTTACCCCTATCCCGAAAATCCCTTATCTTCTCGTAAATCCACGAAGACGAACCAGTCAGTTCGGACCAGTGGGGCCAGTAAGCCTTGCAGCCGCTCGCAGGGTTTGCATCCTTTGAGGATCTATAATGTATTACATTACATCTGGTGACAGCGTTTTCCTTACCTTCATATAAATCCCACATTATATTACATTAGTGCTGTGTTGCAAAAAATAAAAGAAAAGGAACTGTGTGATATTAGTTTAACAAGGATTTTCGCTAAAGGAAATATGTCAAAATCATCTTGGCAAGATGGCACCACGAAATGCTATTCTTCTAGTCGTTCCGGTAATGGTAAACGCTAAATTATACTTCATGCTGGAAACGATGAGGGTTTTATTCCTGACGCTAGTTTAGTTTTTTCGTCCACAAAGAATACAGATGATTACCATGGAAATATGGATGCAAATATTTTTGAAGAATGGTTTGAAGAAAATTTGTTAAAAAAATTGGAGCGACCATCCATAATAGTCTTAGATAATGCATCCTACCACTCAAGAGTAGAAGAGAGATTTCCTTCAAATAGCTGGACAAAAGAAGAAATAAAGTTATGGTTGACAGAAAAGAAAATTTATCACAGTGACATATTTTTAAAAGTCGATTTACTTCAAAGGTGTGGAGAGCACAAAATTCAAAAGAACTTTGTTACTGACCAAATGGCTCTTAAATATGGCCATGAAGTTCTTCGAATTCCGCCCTACCATTGCCACTACAATGCAATTGAGTTAGTTTGGAGTATAGCCAAAAATTTTTATGATAAACATGCATCCAAAACAAAAGATGACGCTAGTGTTCTTGGTTTATGGAAAGAATCGCTAGAACAAATAAAGGCAGAACAATGGCAAAATTGTATTAGACATACGGAAGATATAATCGTTCAGTCTTTTCAAACCGAGCGAGTTATAGATGAGGTCCGGCCTCTAATTATTCGGATAGACAATGCAGATAGTGACGACTCTGCTAGTGAAATATCAGACAGTGAATAGGACAAATCTTTTGCTAAAAAGAAGAAACAAAAAAGTGTTTCGGGAATTCAATTCAAACTTTGTGGTGTATTTTAGTTAAATGATAAAGTATCTTCGGTCTAATTACTGGACTGCATACTCTCAACAGCTTTGGTATTAATTACTGGACTACACGTGTTTAAACATTTTGTTTTGCTGAAAACTCGAAAGTAATTTAGTGTCAATTTGTTTCAAGGTTATATTTAATAAAGTGTCTGCGGAAAGTAAAGTCTTGGATGTATTTTATTTAAATTTGGATATACCAGCAACTTGGCAAGTATTTTAGAATTTAACTGCATGCAAAACCATTCATATAATTTTGACTCTACGCCAAATAGAGACTTATAGAGACCTTGATGAACATTTGATGTCGACAAATAATTTCAATTATTCGAAATAATCCGTCTCACTTCTTTTAAGCGGCCTGTATATACATATTGTATTTATTTTATTTGCCTTTGATACAGTAAAATCCAATATTATTACTGAACATAAAATACACGAAATTAAATATTTTTACTTTTCAAGCGATCGAAATTAAATATTAAGTAACGCCCCACTATTTGAGGCCCACTGATCATATCTTAATTACATATCGGACTTCATAGGCTAAAAGAAGTTTAAGAGCATTTACTGGACAATGTAAAAAGTAGGTAAAAATATCTAGCAGCTTTCTTTGCATGTTGTAAGTAGGTAACTAAAGATAGCACGTTTGTGCAACCACCATATCACCCGAATGTTTTTGAAGAAGTGGGTATCTCGACTTACTTAGTTTTAACATTTCAAATTTGTGTATTCAAAATATTTACTTAGCACATGTTTAAGACGTTAAGACATACTAATTGTGTTTTATAAGTAAATATGATGTCTAGAGGAGAAAAGATTGTGCAGTTAGCACGTGAAGTTGAACCTAAAGCGGAAGGTAAGTGTAGTTTGAGTTAATTTTTACGTAAAATGGGTTAAACGGGAATGATAGGTTAGGTATATATTTGTAAGGTAAGAGACTAAGAGATAAGAGACACTAACCCAAAGAGACCAGTGCATAAAGACTTATTTCCAAATAATTCTGATACACGCGATTTTTCTGGAGATGAATCAGAGTATTTTCCCAGCAGCAGTTTAGACTTCGATACACCAGGTGTTAATATAAAATTGGCAGGGATAGAAGAACGACCAACAGAAACCAATAAACCTCGACGACAGAAAAGGCAACCAACACCAGTTGGCCAAAAAATAACCGGAAGCAAAGAAGACTTGAAGGTCAGCAATGTTTCAGTTAAAGGAGTAGTTAAACCGGCTGTCCAAATGAAACCTTCCTGCAGGGAATCGTGTAGGCTTAAATGTTTTATGATACCTGAAGATGAAAGACTTACTATTTTTCAATCTTATTATAAACTAGCGGACTACGTACGTCAGCGAGATTTTAAAAATGCAAACACGGAAAAGGCAGTTAAAAAATCAAAGACGACGCAAGAAGAGTCCAGAAGGCAATACTCAATTAACTACTTCCTACCTATTATTGAAGAAAAAAAGAAGGTATGTAAATCGATGTTTTTTTAAACACTTTAAAAATTAATAAGGTGTGGACATAGCTATGAAGAAGAGATCGAAGCAAAATATAGCTGCCAATGATGGTCGAGGAAAGGGAAAAAGCGTTACTTTAGATCCTGTTTTAACTGATGGAATCAAAGCACTTACTCAAAGTTTTCAATGTGTACCATCACATTATTGAAGGGCTAACACTGAACGAAAATATTTGGATTCTTCATTAAACCTTGTGAACAATTTTAATCTGTGTTTTCACAGACCACGAAAAGATCAATGTCGCATATGTGTAGCTTTTAATAGTACAGTCGATGCACACGAAGAGATGATGAGCGAATACAAGAAGCATATGGATAATAAGACCGATGCTCAAAACGCCAAACTAATTGACAAAGAAATTGCAGCTGCAAGTGGTAATAAAATCCAAGTTGCAATTTTGACTTACAGCAGGTTTTGTTTTCTCCTAGCTATCCAACAAATAATGCTTTAGTCTACAAACTAAGACTTGCCACCTACAATTTTACCATTTTTAACATAGCAACAAAACAGGGTGATTGTTTTCTGTGGCATGAGGGTCAAGGTGGTAGAGGTACTTGTGAGATTGCCAGCCTTCTTTTTTCGTACTTTCAGTCACTTACAGATCCCATTGAAGAAGTAAGATGTTTTAGCGATCGTTGCGGTAGTCAAAATCTTAACAAATACATCGTAGCGACGTGTATGCACGCTGTTCAGGTCATAAACAATATTAAAAGTATTCACCTTAAATTTCTGACACCTGGTCATAGTGAAATGGAGTGCGATTCAATGCACTCTGCTATTGGAACAGAGTTTAAACGCGCTGGCAAAGCACTGTAGCCAGGGGAATGGAGAACAATAGCACGAAGTGCAAGGAAGCAAGGAGACAAGCCTTACATTGTCCACGCCATTGAATCAGAAAGCTTTAAAGATTGGAAGTCATTTGCCCATACACAGCTTACTATGAGAAAAACAGACACAGACAATAGACAGGTTCTTTTTCAAAAAATCTGCTGGTTTCAATTTAAAAAGACAACTCTTATAAATATGAATATAAGGAATCCTTCAAAGAAGATGTGTTTAGAGAAGTGGATTGCAGGAAAAGCCTTGCGTATGGTTCCGAGAAATGTTGCCTCTTTACCAGGTTGTTATCCACAAGGCCATCTAATTACAGATGCTAAATATAAAGACCTAATGGCTTTGTTTTCTATGAAACCTGCTGCCCTAAGTAGTGAATACTTCAATTTTTATTCAAATTTACCTCACGGAAGAAAATAACCAGACGAGGATGAAGATTAAAATTTCATTAAATCATTTATTATTTAAGGCCTTTTTCTTTTTATATGTAGAACATCCTTATTTATCTAGAAGAAGAATCCTTATTTATACAATTATTTTCTAATTTTCATTACCAATTAAATATAGTTACCTATTTTATACTCTTACATTATTTTAGTTTAAGATAAGTTTGTTAATGTAATAAGTGGATAACTCTGTTTTTTCTATATTAAAAAATAAAAACCAAAATGTGTGTGCATACTTCTTTAAATCAATGAATTGACTAGACACGAAATAATTTTCTTTTAAAACTGATGTATAATAAGTGTCATGGTTCAAGATATTTCGCTGAAGAGAAATAAATAAATTGTTTTTGGCCATTATCTCGAAACATTGAAATTCATGTTACTTAGTTGTTACATTCAGGTGACGATATACATTAAAATTTCAAATCAAAATTGTTGTTCTAAATCTCCTGATCAAAATATTCCTATCTTTTCTAAAGCAATTGTAAAAAATTGGGTTGTTAATAAAGAAAAACTGATGAATAGTAAAACTATCTCTCTCATGATGAGTTGTCCAAATCCTTGCTCCTTGTAGCCTACACTATCTATTCTTAGCAGTGCCCTAGGTAATCAGTAATCTTACAACAAATTGTTGCGAGCCTATCGTCTTTAATGATCTCCTTCAAATGCACGTATCGTTCAAATTATGCTAGCCTCTTCTCCTCTCGATAAACTGAATCTCTCGTTCTGGCCTGAACAGTGACTCTTGGAATACAAGTAGAAAAATATAACTTACAATATTTTACTGGGTCAGCTTCTGTCAGATACACTTACTCCACGAAAACTCACAAACATTCACTTCTACTGCTTACTACCTCTGGGGAACCACCAGAGAACAACGACTGTTCGCCTTGCACCCTTGGAAAACAACTCGTTTATCTTTTTTTTCCTCAAAAATCTAGCTAAACTCTCATTCTTACATACATATCCCACTTTTGTCAATCTCCTCCAATCAAAGCTCGTCACACGTACCCCATCTCTTCATTTAGATAACAAACAACAATTTTACCTACAATTATAAATTTCCTAAAAACTATTAACGTGCTAATCGGTTTCTACAAATCCTTAAGAACTAACGGAGAAATATATTTTCTAAATATTTCTATTCTATTGTCTTATTCACTGTACAAGTCCATTTGGAAACTCGCTCGCATTGTTCATGATTTCACTTAAGCTCACTCACGTCACTCGAATATCTTTTACAAAAAAATATAATTTATGCATATCTTTAAAATTTTGTTTACTACAGGTAATCCAGGATAATGGACTTTCATTTCTTCTTAATATCTTTTATAGTTTATTAGTCGAACTATTTGAATTATTATATTTTGTACTTTGAAATATATTAAGCAAACCAACACTATTTTCAATTTTACATAGCATAAAAATATACAGGGTGAGTCATGAGGAACTTTACATACTTTTACCATATGTAGAGTCCCTCAGGGAGCATATCATGTGGCCACTAAAAAATGTCAACACCTCTTCTTTATTAATTAACAGGGTGATTTGTGTAATTGGCCATTTATTTCATTTTACTGTAGTGTTTATACGGCTCATTTGATTTTTCTAATTTTTTCATGATACAGTACACTACTATCAAGTATTCGACTGGTATTAGCTAAACTAAAAAATTGCAGGACTGGCTTTGGAAAAATGAATGTAGGGATTCGTATTAAATATTACACGCTGTATATATATTTTTTAAAATTAGTTTATTTTCCTTGTGGAAAAAAATATATGTGTACTTGTATATATATATATATATATATATATATATATATATATATTATATATATATATATATATATATATATATATATATTATTTGTAGTCTCAGCAATTGGTCTGTGTGAAATAAAACTCTATTTGTTATTTCTCAATATTTCGTCACGATTTTGTGACTTCTTCAGGAGAAAACTGTAAATTTATTATAATTATTATATGTAAACAAAATGAATATTTCAATACTTACAACTTAAGATTAAAAATTTTAATTTTGATAACATATCAATTAGATAAATGACATTTTTTTGATTAATTTATTTGGGAGTTATGGTAACCGCAATATTTTATAGAGTGAATTCCCATTGTACAATTTTTAGCGAATAAGTTTTAATAAACAATTACATATTGTGACAGTATTATAATATGTGACAGTATGATAATACTGTCACAATATGTAATTGTTTATTAAAACTTATTCGCTAAAAATTGTACAATGGGAATTCACTCTATAAAATATTGCGGTTACCATAACTCCCAAATAAATTAATCAAAAAAATGTCATTTATCTAATTGGATATGTTATCAAATTTAAAATTTTTAATCTTAAGTTGTAAGTATTGAAATATTCATTTTGTTTACATATAATAATTATAATAAATTTACAGTTTTCTCCTGAAGAAGTCACAAAATCGTGACGAAATATTGAGAAATAACAATAGAGTTTTATTTCACACAGACAATTGCTGAGACTACAAATAATATTTAACACAGTACGGTCGAGAATAATTTGATAAATATATATATATATATATATATATATATATATATATGAGGGGTATAAAAGCAAAACCCGCCAAGTCACATTTTTGTGCAATCTGCTTTTGATACGGGAATTTGTTCTTTATGTGTATATACATAAGTTCAAACATAATTTAGGTGCAAATTCCACCTTAAATCGGAGTAATTTAAACGAGAAAATACGCTTAAGCTGCAAAACCAGCCTTGTCCAATAAAAATTAGTTGCAAAGACCGCCAAGTCCGGCCCTGCTAATAGCGAAACGTTTCGGTTAACACGTAACTTAGCCATTCCCGCGAAATGGCATGTGGCAGCTTCTAACCATGTAATGTTTTTAGTGTTGTTTGGATATTTATCAAAGTAGGTTGATAACGATAATATTGGTATCTCAAAAAACGACTCCAGAATGTAGCCGGAAAAGAATTGTACAGCATGATAAACACAAAAGGGTAGTCGTTATGAAAAATAGGTAAGCATAGAGAGCTAGATAATGTTTCAATGCATCGAACTAATCAATTTTTTTGTTTTTAGATATTCGGCTAAAGGTTTGCCTGAAAAACCAAGATGTGTTCATAAAAATAAGTTTTTGAAGTGCCATTTATTAACTATAAGGGATCTGTAATTTGTTCACGAAATATTTTATGAAATTCCATCAAAACTTATAAATATGCTTTCATATTAAAATGTCGTGGGTCTAAGATACCGCAGAGAAGAAGAAGACGAGCAGAGAGAGATGTGGGCAGCACCATTTCTCAAAAACAAGTATCAATAAATTATAGATTACCAAAGCAAGGTGGCGAATGGATTAGGGTATGCAGAAGAGCCTTTATGCAAATTTTGGGCGTGAAAAAAGATAGAATTCAGAGTGTGGTAAAGGTTTTTTTAAGGGATTAACTCCATCAGAAAAACGAGGGGCGACCGCGTTCTAGAAAAAATTGATCAAAAAAAGTTAGCTATGAGTAATTTTATTGAGAGTTTTAAATGTCTGGAATCTCATTACTGCAGGAGTCTAATCAAGCGCTTGATTTGTGCAGATGGCTGTCCAGGTCAAAATAAAAATATTACAATGATCGGCATGCTTGCAAGTTTTCTCCACAAAAAGGGGCCTAATAATATTCGCTGTATTGAACTAATAGTCCCAGTTGTAGGACACAGTTTTATGCCAACAGATAGAGTTTTTGGTATTTCTGGAGACAAAATAAAAAAAAAAGAACAGAAATAATAACGACTCCAGAGAACTAGATAGCTATAATAGAGCAAAACGCCACAATCTATAAATTGATTGAAGACTGGGATGCGTTTAATTGGAAAATCTCAGTATCAGAAGTTATTAAACTGCGAGGAGTTTGGCACTTTTAATTTCAACAGTGCAAAAGCTTTTGGATTTTGAAGCAAAATGATAATACAATTGAAGTTCGAAACTGATTCATCCCTACCGTTTCTCGATGTTTTCATCAAGAAAAATCAATCCCAAGGTTTCCATTACTCTGTTTATCGAAAACCCACACATACCAATCGTTACTTGCATGCCAACTCTCACCATCCACCTTCACAAATTAATTCAGTCATTAATACCCTTGTCTCCAGATCAATACGTCTTTCCGATGATGCAAGTAGACTCGCTAAGCTCTCTTGTTTAAAACAAGCCCTAATCCAAAACGGTTACCGCGCAATAGGAGTATCCACAGACATCAATCTCCTACCCAATCTCAATCCAAAGACTCAGACCCTTATCATACGAAAGCTTTTCTTCCTTATATCAAAGGTGTCACTGACAAAATCGACAAAATTCTTAAATCAAGAGGAATAAAAACAATATTTACCCCCCAACAAAAACTTTCATCTCTTGTCCGATCAATCAAAGACAATATTCCAAATGAACAGCACGGAGTTTATGAAATTCCTTGTACAGACTGTGACCGATTCTATATAGGCCAAACAAATCGTAGAATCGAAAATAGGATTTACGAACATTCCATTTCTGTTCGCAATTCTGATTTAATTTCAGCTCTCGGTCAACACCATCTTCATACAGGTCACAAAATTGATTTTGAAAACTCCGGAACCAAAGCTCCCATCCGCTTCTATAAACCAAGAATTATTCCAGAAGCCATAGAAATAGAAAAAAGACCAAATGGTCTTAATAAAAGAAATGACGCCATACGGTTACCTTCTACATGGAGACCTCTCATTTAAGCCCCTATGTATGTTAAAGAACGTTTTTAAAATCAATTTTTGGATAGTTTTCGCCATCGTTTGTAGGGGTCAAATGAGTTGCCAATTTCATTTGAAGGGTCCAGGAGGAAAAACGGCATTAGTCCATTTTTTCAACAAACTGAGGTCACCATTGATTTTTGTGGTACTGTTAGGTTACTTTCAAGTAGTGATACAGTTAATCTGTAAAAACAGCGTAGATCCTTAAAATAACCATTATAAGATTTACTATACGGGGGAAGAATGGCATGAGTCCGTGCGCGTGTATGGAAAAACGGCATCAGTCCCTGTTATCAGTTGGTGTCGGTAAGTCAATTGTTGCATCAGCCGTTAGTTTACCACTCATAGCTACGTGCATCTGTTGTATATTGATACGTTGTGCATATTTCTGTAGTGTAAAAGTTTTTAAAAACACAAGAATTATCAGGGATAGTGACTATTCAGTGTCCAGTGAAAGTGAAACTGGTCTATCAAGCAGGGAAACGAAGAAACGTAAAAGAACTGGCAGAGGGCGAGATGTAATGAAAATTTTTACGTGCCACAACGCATGAATTGGGACCCGACTGTTTTTGTAAACGTTTTAAATGTTTTACTGTGGCTCCTGAACCTGAACGGTATAGAATAATTCGTGAATTTAATAAATTAGGTAACACTGATGCACAAAACTCTTACATTAGTGGTCTAATCAGTGTTCTTCCTGTCAACCGCAGGCGACCTAGAAAAAAACGCTGAAGAATCTAGACTTAATAGTGCTTCCTTTAGTTATCGTGTTCAAATAGTTGAGGATGGAATTACTCGTGATGTTTCAGTATTTATCAAAGCTTTTTTATCTTTCCATGGAATCACGGGACGTCGAGTTAGATACGTTAGAGACTCCCTGCTTTTTAATGGAAAGCACCTATCGATATGCGAGGAAAACATAATTCGCGACCTCACAAACTTTCTGAAGTCACAAAGCAAAAGGTGATGGAGTTCATTAAAAGTCTAAAAGGACGCAAATCTCATTATTATTTAGCAGACTCGAATAAAATTTACTTACCTGAAAACTTAAACATAGTGAAATTACACAAAATGTATTCCGAAACAAACGTTAACAATAAAATATCCTACGAATCCTTCCGTGACATTTTTGAGTCAAATTTTAATATATCGTTCGGATATCCACGAAAAGACACTTGTAGCACGTGTGACTCCTTAAAAGCCGACATATCATCGATAACCACATTATTAAATTCTACTTCGGACCTTGAAACTAGGAAAACAGCAAGTAATGATATAGAAAAAAAGACACGTGAAAGGAATCTACATCTAAAAAAAAGTGAGCGATTTTATAGTCTAAAAAGAAGTTACCGCAAACGTGCTTCAAAGTCCTCGACTATGGAAGGTATAAGCATGGATTATCAAAAAAACTTACCATGTCCAAATATTACAACCAACGACGTATATTATAAACGTCAACTAAACTTCATCAGTTTCAACATTCATATTCTGTCGGATTCAAAATCTGTATTTTATACCTACGATGAATATGTTGCTAAGAAAGGAGCTGACGATGTTTGTTCCATGTTGAATCACTTTTTTTTATAATATTCTGCCCATGGAAGTACAAGAACTAGCTATTTTTTGTGTTCCTGTGCAGGACAAAATAAAAATCTTACTATCATTCGATTTTTGCATTACTTGGTTACAAGAAAAAATCGTTTTGATATTGTGAAAGTAATATTCCCTATTAGAGGGCATTCATATCTTGAATGCGATCGAAACTTGTCAATCAGAAAGCATACACTGAGGTACCAGAGGACTGGAGAGACGAATTGCGAAATTGCCGTTTGAAACCTACACCATTTGAAGTGATTGATTGCAGTAAAAATTTTGATTTTCAAAATTGGACTTCATTTTTATCGCCGCTATATCCAACGAAGTGCCCTTTCCCAACTCGGCCAATCAGAATGCTTAAATTTTGCAGCAAGGATAACCGGTTAATTTTCCATAAATCTACGTATATGGGCTTATATTATAATTCTAAATTCGAAAATAAACCGATTAAGGCGTGCCGCAAAAGGACACAAAATAATCACAATAAAAAAGAAGTAGGAACATTACGAAAACTTTATCAAGGCGCAATTCCTATTAAAAAATCCAAATGGAAAGATCTGCAAGATCTAACTGCATTCCTCGAGAAACCAGAATCCAGGTTGTTTTATCAACAATTAACAGTAGTTGTTGTCGAACAATCTGGAGAAACGATGACGAATTTGTGGACGATCCGCAATAGACGTCTAATATAGAAGAAAAGTGGCACGCATCTGTCTGTATTATATTTTTTTTCTACCTCATTTATTTTTATAATAAGGTTATTTTTAACGTTGTTTAATAAAAAATATAATATTTACCTAAAAATATTATTTTTGACTATTTTTCTTTATATTTGACTTTATAATAAGTCTATAAATCTTAATTTTCAATTTTCTCGAAATAAATCCAAATGGACTATTGCCGTTCTTCCCCTGGACCCTTCATTTGATAAACATCAAGACAACTAACCTCAATTAGTGTAGGATACAAAGTGATTCTTACTCTGTAATTTGTACTAATTCTGTTTATTGTAGCACCCTGATGATGCAAATAACGATTTGCGAAAGCTTGGTAAACTAAAGAGTACTACTTTGTCCTATCTTCCGCTTTACATCCAAATATTTGAGTATTGTATTCTATTTGATCAGCGTTGATTACAAGCGTTTATCGCTTTTTCAGTTTACTGTGTAATGGGTCTTTACGAGAACATCTACGCTACATATGGAACTGCAGCCATTGGATTCCTCAAAGGATGGTCGAAGACGAATCTAAAATTATCCACAGAAAGAAATAGAAGAATTTTCCTTTTAAAATGTAAGAAACCTGGAATACTTCCGAAACACATTTCACATTGTGCTGTCCCAATTGAAAATTTAATTTACAGGCAAGATAGTCACACCCATCTTACGAGAATATTTATTAACAAATTACGGTATAAACTTTTAACTATCAAAATAAACATTAATCATAAACTAATAAAATCATTAGAGAATAAATTAAATACCCTTAAGGCAAATATAATTAGTAGTACTAGTGAATATATTTGTAATAATTTCATTCAGAAACAAATGAAACACTATAATTTTTCTTTTCACAAGATAAAAAATAGTAATATTAATAAATTCAACAATTTAAAATCTACTATGTTGAACAACCAACTTATTACTAAGGATTGTAGGAAGTTTCTCTCGTTAGGTCCTAAGTTTAGCCTTGAACCACGGTTAGGTATTGATTCTCCTATTAAACCGCTTTTATCTGATATTGATTTTATATCATCATTTATTCCGGATCCTGATTATAGAAATATTGCAATTGCTAGATCGATTAGCATAA